GTCCTAACTATTTGAAGGCTATGGATCTATGGATATCGCTCAATTTAGGTGGAGTGCTTTGCTTAGCACTTGGTGTTTCCCAGCATCACGCAAAGCAGGCACAGACTTGTAATACTAGCACTCAGGAAGTGGAGACAGGAGGATCAGGAGTTCAGGGGCATCCCTGGCCACGTAGTGAGTTCAAATCCAGCCTGGTCCATATGAGATCCTGTCTTAAAAAACAATAAGTGAAAACAGTATGCACTATTTTTTTGTTTGTTTGTTTTTGTTCTTTGGGGTTGTTTGTTTTTGTTTTTGCTACACAAAGGTTTCCCTGTATGGCCCTGGCCATCCTTGACCAGGCTGGCCTCAAACTAGGAGATTTGCCTGTCTCTGCCAGTGAGTGCTGGGATTAAAGGCATGTGCCATCACTTCCCAGCTACATTTTTGACAATCTGAGTATATATCACTTTTAATCACAGTAAATTTTTTAAAGATTTTTTTTTTTATTCATTTTTTGTCTGAGTGCTTTCTCTGCATGTACACCTGCATGCCAGAAGAGGGTATCAGACCCCAGTGTAGATGGTTGTGAGACACCATGTGGTTGCTGGGAATTGAACTCAGGACCTCTGGAAGAGCAGTCAGTACTCTTAACCACTGAGCCATCTCTCCAGCCCTGGCACAAACTTTTAATACCAGCATTTGGGGAGGAAGAGGCAGGTGGATAGATGTGAGTTCAAGGCCAGTCTTCCATTGCTGTTCCCAAATCTTGTTCTTAAATTCACACAAAATACCACAAATCAATGAGTTTGAGTGAGTTTGAATTTTCATCTCATAAGAAATGTAATCCTAACTCTCTGTTTGCTGTTAGCAAACTACATGCAACTAACCATGTAGCTCAGTCTTCCATATGCGCACACACACACACACACACACACACACACATATATATTTTAAGATATATCTTGTGGGAAAAAGCACATCGGAAGTCACAGTGATCTCATTCTTGTTCCACTCCTCAGTTACAGACCCTTTACCCAGATTCCCAGATTTTTCCATTCACTTGGATTCTCTCCTGGAGAAACTCCTGGAAATAGGCAGAATCCATGAATCCACCTTCTTCAGGGTGGCAGCGATAGTCAAGGGTGGACCTTAATGCATCCTCCTCCTCCTCTTCCTCCTCCTCCTCCTTTTCTTCTCCTCCTCCTCCTCCTCCTTCTTCTTCTTCCTCTTAAAACATGGTTTCTCTGTGTAGCCCTAGAAATCCTAGAACCCGATCTGTAGGCCGGAGATCTGCCTGCCTCTTCCTCCAGAGTGCTGGAACTAAAGTCGTGCACCACCACTGGCCTGCAAGTGTCTGATTCTTTTCCTGCCCCACTTTTTTGCAAATTGCTTCATGGGTGCCGTGGTAGTGGCATAGGCAGAAAAAACCAGCGAGTGTATTTTATTACAGCAACAGAAAATGAACTAACACAGATAACAAGCACGACGCTACGAATAACAAAGTCTCCATGTTGCAATCCTCACAGGATTAATGGATTTGAGTAAGCGTGGAGAAAGGGTGACTGAGTGACGTCATGAGAGGGAACACGCTCAGAATCCCATAGTGTTTCCAAATAAAATATAGAGTATCAATTATAATGCAAAAAGACAGTTTAACAATGAGAAATCCTAGCTGGGTGTTGTGGCACCCGCCTGTGATCCTAGCCCGCAGGAAGGCAGAGGCAGATGGATTTCTGTGAGTTTGAGGCCAGCCTGGTCTATAAATCTAATCCAGGACAGCCAAGGCTACACAGAGAAACCCTCTCTCAAAAAACCAAAACCCAGGGGAAAAAAGAGAGCGAGCGAGAGAGAGAAATCCTGACAGAAACTGTTTTACGTGAGCAGCATCAGCCTTATTCTGGACAAGAAGAGCAGACACCATTCACATCTTGGTGGGACCTGATAAGGATACAACATCAGTTACAGTTTATTTTCCAAAAATTCACAGTCAGGGCCGGGGGAGAGGGTTCAGTGGTTAAGAGCACTGGATGCTCTTCCAGAGGACCCAAGTTCAATCCCACACCAGCTCACAAACCTCTGTAACTCCAGTTCCCAGAGATCTGACATGATCACACAGAGATAATGCAGGCAAAACACCAATGCACATAAAAATAAATAGATTGTAATAGTATTAATCTGCATTTAATCACATGGTCCCGCCAGACAGCTCAGACTACAGGGACCTGGCTGAAGGCTTCAAGACTGTTGACTCAAGGGGAGACAGTGTAGCTGGTAAAGTCACACATCAGCCTGAGGACCTGAGATGGAACCTGTGTAAAAGCCCCAGGCATGACTAGAGTAGAGAGATGACTCCCTGAGCAGAGCGACTGCAACCCCGAGTGTCAGGACTGGATCCTCCAAGCAGATGTAAAGGCTGCCAGGGTGTGGAAGGTGCCTCGTGATTCCAGGCCTCAAAGGTGGGCTCCAAAGCTGCCTGGAAGACAGAACAGTGGCGTGCATGATCAGCTAGGGACCTCCCCCCAGCGCGTAAGGGGGAGGGTGATGCCAGCCTTTTGCTTCTGCATTCCTTCAGAGACTCTTATTCAAAATAAATAGATAGGTAGACAGACAGACAAACAAACAAACAACGACCAGAGAAAGACCTGATACCAAACTCTGGCCTCCACATGTGTGAGCACATACGTGCAACCGCGCGCGGGCGCTCACATGAACGTGTGCACACACATTGAAGTGTAACCGTCGTGAAAGATAGGGGATGTCTCTGGAATGTTCCCTTTTAAAAGGACAGTCAGTCAGGAGTTTCATTTGGATGGAAGGGAGAGAAAAATTAATATGATCGGGTAGAAATAAAAGTTTAAGTATAATATATAAGGCTGCAGTCTCCTACGTGTCTGCCCTTGGTGATGTAACCGAATATGTAAAAGACTATTCTTTTATTTTAAGGATGTTCACAGGAAAAGGGTATGGGATCTTCAGCTAACATGCCGATTAAGTAAGTGCGTGTGCGTGTGTTCACTATATGGGCCAATAAGGAAATAGAATCAGTGAGGCAAATTCGTATTAACTGGTGATTTTGGATGAACGGTATATGAGAATTTTAATAGTATTTTTGAGTTGTTTTGTTTTGTTTTTTCTATAGGCTTGAAATCACTTAGAATCAAAAAGAGAAAGAACAAAATTTATAAAAGTGAGGGAGCCTGATTTACTTCACACCTGGGAACCTGCTGTCCTGTGATCACAGTTCTCGGGTTTCTAATTGCCACAGTTCAGTTGAAGAGAACCATCAGCAACCCACAAAACCAACCGAGTCTCAGCTAAAAGGTGTCATTTTACTCACAGAGATCTGGACTTTGATTTCTCTGTGGGGAAGGTGTTGCTATCTCAGGAGCCACAGGCAGCCACCGTAGATTAATGAACCTGCAGTTGCTCTACTTTCAGCTGTAGCCAGCTCATGGCACAGCGCTTGCCATGCACGTCTGAATGAACGCATGTATCCAAGCACGCACACACAGCTACATGAAATATTAGAAAGGACTTTGTGGCAATCTTGTCTTTTAAAAGTATCGGTAAAGCTGGGTGTGGTGGCACACGCCTATAATCCCAGCACTCAGGAGGCAGAGGCAGGCGGGTATCTGTGAGTTCAAGGCCAACCTGGTCTACAGAGTCCAAGACAGCCAGAGAAACGCTGTCTTGAACAAAACAAAAAACAAAACCAACAAAGGATTAGGAAGTATTGGAGGCAGCGTCTTCCATGTAGCTTGCTCTGGCCTGGAGCTCACTCCGTGTAGTCTAGGCTACACTTGAACTTGCGAAGTCTACCTGCTGTCTTGCAAGGGCAGAAATTATAGAGTGCACCATGTCCAGACATAATGTAGTTTTCGTTATGTTTTACACTTTAATTTTGAAAAACAAGCAGAAAGTAATCCCAGAACCTTGCCACAGTAGAGCCAGAGTTCTTTGGTTACAATCCAACATGGTGATTATGTTTGAGAGAACAAAGCTAGGAACATGAAGCAAAGGCACACCCCAAGGCGCAGGCCGGGCTATAGTCAGCCTTTCCCATTTGAATACACTAAAAATCATTCTCTTGTCACTAGGGACTTTTCAAGAGGTTTGAGTGTTCTTTAAAGATGGGGGTCTCACCCTTCGCAGACTTGTCTGTAACTCACAGTAATCCTCCTGCCTCAGCTTCCAGATTGTTGAGATTTCAAGTGTGAGCCACCCTGCCTGCCCAAACAATTAGATCATTAACCCTGATCAAAGCCTTATTGTTGAAGTTTGGAACCCCAGAAACAGAGTTAGGGCTTGGGGGGGGGGGCTAATGACAACCACCAACAGAAGAGTGGTACACAAAGGTGACCAAGGAGACGCAGTGTGAATCTGCAGTATTGTGTATACAATGACAGGGCGTGTAGACTAGATCTTTCCCTGTGAAGAAGTGATTTGCAAAACTACAGCAAGGCTCTTTCAGGAAGAGTGTTTGGCTGGCGTGGTGACACATGCCAGGACAGCCAAAGCTACACAGAAGAACTGTGTCTTGAAACAAAACAAAACAGACAACCAACCAACCAACAGTGTCTCAACTCTGCACCATACACACACAAACACAGAGACGACAGAGAGAAAGACAGAGGCAGAGAGTCTCTCTAGATGGGGACGCAGGGAAGAAAATGCAAAATAACTGCTGGGGCAAGCCAGATGAAGAATGGACTTTGATGCTTGTATTGGCCTTGAGGGCAGCATAAGACTCTGTAAGCTCAAAACAGCGCATAGGACAGTGGAAGACAACTGACTCAGAGGCTGTCTGGCGAGGGTTTAGAGGAAAACACTAACTGAAAACTGCCAGCTGCAGTTATCCCCTTGGCTTAATTAGACCTGCTTTGTACACATTATATAAAGAATTGGTGCATTAAAGTCAACTTAAGGAGTGTTTGTAACATAATAGAGGGGATCCCGTCAGGTGGCTCAGCCGGTAAAAGTGCCTTTTGAGAAAGCCTGGAGACTTGAGTGTGATTCCTGGGACAGAACTGACTCTCAAGTTATTCTCTCTGTCTGTCTCTCTCACACACACACACAAATGAAGATAAGTCTTTTTGTTTGTTTTTTGAGACAGGGTTTCTCTGTAGCCCTAGCTGTCCTGGAAATCGCTCTGTAGACCAGGCTGGCCTCTGCCTCCACCTGCCTCTGCCTCCCAAGTGCTGGGATGAAAGGCATGGGCCACTACTGCCCGGCTCAAAAACAAATCTTAAAATAATCTAGCGGGGCATGGTGGCACAGGCTTTTCATCTCAGCCCTTGGGAGGCAGAGAAAGGGAGATCTCTGTGAGTTCCAGGGCATTCAGTGCTACACAGTGAGACCCTGTCAGAAAAGAAGAAAGGGAGGGGGATCAATAGAGCACCCGGCTAGCATGTAGGGAGCCAGGGCTTCATAATCAGCACAACAAGGAGAAAAGGAGAAACCTAACACTGTACAATTATTATGTGTTCATTTAAAAAGTCATAAAAATTCCCATTTTAAAAAGATTTATTTATTATTTATACAGTGTTCTGCCTGCATGTTCTTCTGCAGGCCAGAGAGGGCAACAGATCTCGTTACAGATGGTTGTGAGCCACCGTGTGGTTGCTGGGAATTGAACTCGGGACCTTGGATGAACACCAGTGCTCTTAACCTCTGAGCCACCTCTCTAGCACCCAAAATTCCCATCTTTAAAAGTGGAAAAAGAGGGGCTGGAGAGATAACTAAGAGGTTAAGCACACTGACTGGTCCTCCAGAGGACTCAGGTTCAATTCCCAGTGCTTACCTGGCAGCTCACAACTGTCTGTAACTTTATTTCCTGGTGGGGAAAGGAAAGAGGAGAACAAAAAGGAGGGAAGGGGGAAAAGGAGAGATAAGGGGAAGGCAACGGTGATTAAGTTAGTGCTTATAAAGAAAGATAGGCAAGTGACCGATTGAGCATGAAAATCTTTCCAGCTTTCCTGATATTAGTGAAATGCAAATTAAAATAGCAGCGGGTTTGAGCCAAACACCTAAGATAAACAGATCACGAGCAAGAATGGCTTTGTTTGGCTCATGGTTTAGGGCTTTCCAAGCCAGGCATGGTGGCACTGGCCTGGAATTCCAGCACTCTGGAAGCAGAGGCAAGAAGACGGCCCCTCACCACAGGTTCAGGGCAACACACACAACACACACACACACACACACACACACACACACACACACACTCAAAAGACCTGTCTCAACACCTCCCTTCTGTCCCCCAAAGTGCATGCTTCACCTCAGTGCTTTTACAGAGACGTCCACTCAAGTTAGGGCAGCAGGAAGCAAAAGAGAGAGAGAGAGGAAGAGGCTCAGGTCTCAATATCCCTGTCAAAGGTGTGACCCCAAGGACCTCCTTCTCTATGCTCCACCTCCCAAGGTTCTAATCACTGTCTTAAAGAGCCAGGGTCCAAGCCTTCTTCACAGAAGCTTTGTTGGGACCTAAAATCCCAAAGTACAACATTTAGGAACTTAGAAATGTGCTCGGTCTCAGACCAACTACTTCCTTCCAACCAAGCATTTTCCAAGGCAATGGCAAACGATCTTGGTTTGGGTTTGCAAGGCAGCCACACACCTACAAGCAAAGCTGACTGAGCCCACAGACTCAGCCTGCCCCCTACAAGGCCCATTTACTACAAAGGGAAAAACAGTAATTTTCAGTGAAGAAGAAAAAAAAAAATAGCAGGCATCATTTTAACCAAGTGATGAGGTGGACAGCATAAAACAAAACATCAATATCATGTTGTTCCTGAGAGAAATAAAGCATCACTTCTGTGATCTAACAGAAATGGATAATCTTTGGGTTGGTGAGATGCTTCAGTGGGCGGAGACTCGGCAGTTCAATCTCTGATTCTCTTCCCGGAAGAAGAGAATCAGCTCCCAAAAGTTGTTCTCCCACCTCCACATGGGTGTACACCCACACACAATCACACACATAAATATAGAATGTTTTAATGTGTAATCTCGGAATTATTTTTAAAAATAAAAAGAACAGAAGGCAGGAGGTCCTGGTGAATGCCAGGAATCCCAGCACTCAGGAGGTGGCAGCAGCAGGGTCAGGGGTCAAGGTCATCTTTAGCTGCAAATCAAGTTCAGGTCTGGTCTAGGTTACATGGGACCCTTACTCAAACCAAGCGGGGGGTATTAATTAGCAGAACTTTGATCCATCTCAGCCCTGTAACGCTCACACCTTCTGGTGTGTGACAGCATGCTCCCTGTACTGTATCGGGACTCTGAGCCAAAGTCCAGCATGGTTAAGGAGGCCAGTCACTTCTTAGAAACTCAAGTTTCGAAAAGATACAGGCAATAATACATTTTTATGATAGCTTGGTCAATCTCTTTAAGAAAAGGGAGGAGAGGTTTATGACAGAAATGGCAATAAAGCTTTAACTACATGTGTGTGGTTAAGTCCACTGGAGCCATTCACTTTAACTTCTACCTATGTTTATGGGCTTGATTGCATAATACATGAAGCTTACAGGAAGTAACCAGAAGATAAGAGTGCATAGAAAAGTTATTTAAGTTTGAAAAGAAACAGCAGGACATGCTGGGAACCAAGTTCATTGGCACTCTTGTAACATGAGAGACTGTTTTCTCTTAATAATTTCCCTATCTCACAGTGAACACGGGGGAAACTGATTAATTCTAGATTGAAGGCACATCGGAGTTAACCCAGAATTATCTAAAGAGTCAGTAAATTACCCGAAAAAAAAAAAATGAAGACAAACATTTGATGATATCCAAATTTATGCTAAACGTGTGAATGGCTTAGACAGGTCGTGTCCTACTACGGCACAGTGGCCTCCGGCAGGAGCTTCACTGCCTAGTGAGACTTGTGCTACTGAGAAATGTGACTCGATCAGTAGACCTTGCATTTGCTACAAGAAATGACCCTAGTGGTTAATGTGTAACTGATCGCTGCTCTTCCTCTGCAGAAACTGCAATCTGCAGTGGAGGAAGGCATTGTGCAGGCTTCGCTCCTTTAAGGTGCAGTTTGCCTCCGTGGTATTGTGATGTCTGGCCGGTAGGATAGCTTCCACACCTTTGCCTTCTGGGTTCACGCAGTGCTTGATATTTACAAATTTAGGAAAATCAAGGCTGTTTTTACAAATGAGGAGGGGAAAGGAGGTTAAAAACACTCACAAAAAAATAGCCCTATAATGGCGAGGAGAGGTGTTGAATGATAATGTTGCAGAAGAGGAGAAACTGCTTTATTCTAATGAAAGCAAATTACCCTAAAAATCTGTGCTGTGGAAAATTAAAACTAATGACATGTTCATGTTGCAATGCAAAACTGCCCGGAATCTAATTTCCCAGGGTGAGATGCAGTTAATTTTCAAACGTAAATAACTTGTCCATTTCACAATTTGCTTTTCTCCATTACTGCAAAAGAACCATTTTCAACAGCCACCTCTACCCCAGGAATTGGGAAGGACAAGCCAAAGGAGTTTTCGCGATTTCCTCTGTGATGTTGAGAACAAATTAACAGATTTAAAAAAATCATTTATATATAAGACTTTACCCTTTTCAATAAACGTAAATGAATAATGCCACCTTTTTAAGTCTAAAACGGCTTATTTCAGCTTTTGCCTTGGTCTCGCAGAATGTAGCCGGGTTTTTCGATGACAACTGAATTAGCTTGGTGAGGGTTTTTGAGACAGGATCAGTCACACTAGTGCGTTGATGACACCTAGCAGAGCCTGTAGGTTAAGAAGTGGAGAGGAAAAAAAAAAGCTCATCACACACTCAGGAGCTTCAGGTAAACACAGCGATTGTTCCGGGCCTCTGCTTCTTGGAATGAACCCGGTGCTGTAAACCTAATTGCCGCCATAATTAGGACTGTGAGCCTGCTACTCAGCAGAGCTGAAACCTAAATCTCAGAGATGCCATTTGCCCTGTGAGTAGCTTTTGAATGGTAAGTTTAAACGCGAACCCAATACTGAGGGAAACGCTGCCGGGTGTGAAAGTGCATGGGCAGTGCCCGGTAGAAGGGCTGATGGGTGTCCAGGAGCGACTTCGGTGATGAAAAGGACCTAATGCGTCCAGCTGAAAGCTTGCCCTGTCAGAAGAAGAGGCCTCACGCTGCACCCGAGCTTCCCCACACAACATTTCATGAAATTTCAGCCTCACGGTGCTGTTGAGAAACTCTTCCCCCCCCCTATCTACATTGCCCTATCTTGCTGTGTAGCAATCTGGTTTCCTCACATCCTCAGCAACAGCTCGCTGGCCTATACTGTCACCCACCTCACAGCAACAGCAAAAAACTCAGCAGAATAATTAGTCGGTTTCGATCTTTAAAACAAGCGATAGGAAACCATGACTGTTTAAATCACGTATTTCCCCCTCCTCCCCGCCCCCACCCCCCGTTTTTTTGAGACAGGGTTTCTCTGTGTGTAGCCCTGGCCGTGCTGGACTTGCTCTGTAGACCAGGCTGTCCTCGAACTCTAAGTCACGGATTCTTAACTGGGACTTCCATGGTGAAGTCTTGGGAAGACCGACTTTCCAGCTTCCAGCCTAACAGGCCGGCAGGTCAGCCAGCAGACGGCCCTCAGCGCGTACCACCCTGCATTACCAGAAACGCCAAACATTCTATAGATTGTAATCCTATCCTTGAAAACGTGGCTCCTGACCCGGACGGGCATCACCGACAACGGGAATAATTATAGTTTTTTTTTTTTTTCTGCTTGCACTAAAATATCTTTCTACTCTAATTAGATGTAAAGGAAAAGTAAAGAAGACCTTCCATAAAATGCCTTCACAGATCCCCTCCGACTTCTTGCCTGTAATTATGTTGCATTTACAGATCTGATAGCTATTCCTTAAAAGAGACATTAACATTACAAAGGCCAATTATTCATGGTCAAACAAAAGAGATTCAGATTCCCTGATCAAAGCCCTAATCTGGTTTACAATTGTTATTTTTGAAGTATCTTCAAACAGAATAAACACACCTTGACTACGTAAACAGCTATGGCTGTGGGCTAATTTGCTGCTCCATCATCAGATGGTTTCCTAAAGGGCTTACTTCTAGCCCTGCTGTCCCTTCCAAACCTCTGCATGTAGGCTCAGGGAAAAGAAAGCTTTTTCAGAAGGGGAAGAAATTACAAACATGATTTTTAGTAAGTAAAGTGTTGCAAGAGAAAGGTCTATTTTTCACAGAGTCCTGTCCTTTTACCCAAAGCTGCTTGTTCGGTAATTGTTTGAAAAGATGAAAGGCGAAGCCCCAAAGATATACATACTTTACATGAAACCAGTAGGCTTTGGTTTTAGAGAAAATCGGAATTTGTGTTTCATTTGGAGGTTTTCTGAGAACAAGGTACTCAGATTTTTACTTAGAGCTTTTCCTGAACATTTCAGGAAGCTTACCAGAACCTCCCGGTGACACCCCTGGACAGAGGGGGCCTTTTGTATTCACTAAAGCACTAGCTGACTGTGTGTGCATTTACATGAGAATGTGTGTCTTTACACCTGACTAAACTGCCAAACAACCAAGAGGAACCAACGGAAACCATCACGAGGAAAAAAAAAGAAAAAGCCTCTAAAACCATTTACTATCTTTCCATCGCCTCTACCATCTATGCATCATGAAACTAGTTTTAAGGTTCAAGGAAGTTAAAACAATTTTTCCCTTTGTCCAAGCCGTTTGCTTCTCCGACACACTCACGAAGCAGTAAGTAATGTATGTCAAGCATTGACAGGAGGAATGCCTTGTCCTGAGGCTAGCAGAGGAACTGGCGCGCACCTGGGCGGATGGCAAAGGCAGTTGGCTCTCTTCTCTATACATTTGAAACAAATGAGCAGCCAGTGTCATTAGCCTGTGCTAAAATGTTACAGCAGAAGGAGTTTGCAAAAATGTGCCCTTCTGAGACTAGAGGTTTCAACACCTAGAACCCGTGTAGATTTTGGTTAAGGCTCCTTCTCCTGAAGCTCCTCCCTCCTCCTCCTCCTCCTCCTCCTCCTCCTCTTCCTCTCCTCCTGGAGCCTACATTGTTCTCAGTCTGGAACCAAGCTCTTGATCCTTCTACTTCAAGGGTGGGACTCAACGAGTGTTTTCTGCCCTGATTTGCTTCAACTTAATTTTTTTTCCAAACCCCTGTATTCTAATCTGTAAGACAGAGAAGATTTTTTTTTGTTTTTTATAGATTGTAGACAAAAGTCAAATAATGTAGCTGCTATAATAGTTAATAAATGGTAGATTTCTGTTTAGCTCTGTACTCCATTTTTTAATTGGATTACTTGATTTGTTGCTGTTTAACTTCTTGAGTCTTTATATATTCTGGATA